GCCGGGATATCTTGAAGCAGAAGAGCCATGTAGTTGGATGCACAGCCTGTCTGAGCCTGCCCCAGCTGGCTACGACCCATCAACAGAGAATGCTCGTCCTGAACACAGGTCATGGGGAGGGCAGGGCTTCTCATGGCCATCCCTTGGGGCCCCACGCTCCTGGCTGGCAAAAGTGGTCTCAGACCTGAATCCTGCCTTCGGAACTGCAGCTCACAGGCTTTATGCTCCAACCGGCCTCCCTGCCTTTTTCCTGCTCGTTTTCTTGATTTTAAAGCAAATTGCACCATCTTATTCAGATGTTCCTTTTAGTTTTATTTTTGGTCTTTTTGAGACAGGGTCATCCTGTAGCCCCAGCTGGCCTGGAACTCATTATGTAGATCAGGCTGGCCTTGAACTCACAGAGATCTGCCTGCCTTTGCCTCCCAAATGCTGGGATTAAAGGTGTTCGCCATTAAAGACATAAGCGATCATTCTTAAAAAATGAGTTTTCAGATGTTTACAAATGCCTTATATCTAGTGACTTATTGGCTTGGAATTCACTATGTAGACCAGGCTGGCCTTAATTTCAGAGACCAGCCTGCTGTTGCCTCCTGGGCACTGGGATCAAAGGTGAGCACCTACCTGGCCTTGAACTCCATCAACTGTTCGCCATTAAAGACATAAGCGATCATTCTTAAAAAATGAGTTTTCAGATGTTTACAAATGCCTTATATCTAGTGACTTATTGGCTTGGAATTCACTATGTAGACCAGGCTGGCCTTAATTTCAGAGACCAGCCTGCTGTTGCCTCCTGGGCACTGGGATCAAAGGTGAGCACCTACCTGGCCTTGAACTCCATCAACTCCCACCTCAGCATTCCAAGTCCTGAGATTATAGACTTCCACCAATATTACAATTGTTAACTTTTTTTTTTTTTTTTTTGGTCTTTTTGAGACAGGGTCTCCCTGTAGCCCCAGCTGTCCTGGAACTATGTAGACCAGGCTGGCCTTGAACTCACAGAGATCTGCCTAGCTCTGCCTCCCGAGTGCTGGGATTAAAGGCATGCACCACCATGCCCGGCTAATTTAAGAATATGTATAGACAAGCCACGTTTTGTGCCATCCATCTACAATCTCAACAGTGGGGAGTCAAGGCAAGAGGTTCACAAGTTCAAGGCTAGACTGGGCTACAAAGGGAGAACTAAAAAATAAATGTGCAAGAGTATCAACTAGGAGAATATATAAATGTATATGCATACATGCATGCAAAAAATTTGGGACATAGCTCAAGTGTTTCTCTTTAAATTGTATATTAAAGTTTTTCTTCAACATTAAGAGATTATTTATATAGTGAAAGTTTCATCACTGGCTGACACCTACTATGCTTTTCCAGGAGTCTTTGCTTCATTGGCGCTGATGATGAATAAAGGAAAGAGGATAGAAAAGAGACAGCCACTGTAAAAAAAAAAAAAGAAAGAAAAATAGAGTTACCTTCATAAGCCATGACTTTGGTAAAGGTATTAGAAGCCCCAAATCTCCTAGCCTGCTGTGCCAACAGCATACCACAATGAAACCTTAACATAGCAAACATGGCTTTTGAAAAGAACATAAGACTTTCTCAGTACCTAGTATATTTCACACTGCTCTAGGAGGCAGCACAGAATACAGGATAGAGGGTCAGAAAGACTACATTTGGGGCTAGAGAGATGCCTCGACAGTTAAGAGCACTGGCTGGTCTTCTAGAGGACCTGAGTTTGAGTCCCAGCACCCATATGGCAGCTAGCAACCATCTGTAACTCCAGTTCGAGGGGCATCCAATGCTCTCTTTTGACCTCCTCAGGGATTCAGCACAGGTACGCTTCTGAACATGAAGACAATACACTTGTACACATAAAATAAAAAATAAAACAGAGTGCAACAGACACAAAAGGCCACAAGTGGCCAACTTTTAAAGAATAAGAGATCTTGGAGCATTTGTCCCTGGATACGACTCCTGTATCAAACCTCTCCCACCCACGGCTCAGGGACAATTGCAGAAGAGGGGGCAGAAAGTAAGAGCATAGGTTGGTCCATGAACATAAGGACGCAGAGGCTTTCAGCCACTGGAAGCTTGCACATGTGAACTTGTGGCAATGGTGGCATCAAGCACAGGACCCACGCCAACTCAATCAGACAAGGGCCCAGAGTGAAGCGAGGGAAATGGGTGGCAGGGTCAACTGTAATCTGGGAACTACTGGAGCCTGATTACTACTGGGTGAGGGAGAGTCGGCCTTAACAATCTCTAGATAGCTTGACTAGACTCCAGTGGATGAATTTGTACCAAAGGACATCTGAGTACAAATGCTTGACTGGATAGGACTTGACATATATGGCTGAATACATAAGGTCCAGTGGGGGAGTGGGGCATGGATGGGGGACGTGGGGTCTGAATTTGATTAAGAACTGTTGTATGAATGTACAAAAGCTCAATAAAAAATTTTTAAGTAATAAAATATTTTTAAAAAGAAAGACTACATTTTAATGCTGACAAATGTCAATCACTATTTATAAACAAGAAAAATCTCTTGATGGTCAATAATATAGAATGCTATGTACAGAACCAAATA